CCCCGACGGCGGGGCCTGGACGCTGGTGGGAAGCGACGGAGCGACGCACCGCCACGCGCCCGTGGAGCTGGGCCCCGAGACCAGCCTGCGCGGGACGCTGGTGGTGGAGCTGCACGCCGGCCGCGCGCTGCTGGCCACCGGCACGGTCCAGCTGGCGGAGCTGCAGGACCTGGCGGCGCGGCAGGACGTGTTTGCCCCCGCCCCCGCCCCCGGCGGCGCCGGCTTCCTCAAGTCCCTCTTCCCCTGCCTGCGCCACCGCGGCGGCGGCCAGGCCTCCATGGCCTGGGTCAAGCTGGTGGACGAGGCGGGGCGCACCGCGGGCCACGCCGTGCTCTCCCCGCGTATCGTCACGCCCGTGGGGCCGTGCGGGCTGGAGGGCCCGATGGGTCCGCCGCGCGGCGCCGGGGTCAAGCCCGCGCCGCGCCGGCCCGAGGCCGGCGAGGGCCCCGGCGGGCGGGTCGTGCGCCACAAGGCGCCGCCGGCGCGGCGCCCGCGCTCGCCGCCCGTGTGGCCCCTGGCGGGGGTCCGCCGCGAGGCCGAGCCGCACGGCCTGGCGCGCGTGGACACGCGCGGCGCCGACCTGCCGCCACCCAACTGCAACAACGGTGGCGGCGCCGGCACCAACGGCGGCGGCGTGGGGTACCTGCAGGCCAAAGCGCTGCAGGCCTACGACGAGCTGCTGCGCGCGGCGCTGGGCGCGCAGGGGTGCGGGCGGCGGAATCTGACCCCGGAGGGCCCATGGCGCTGGCTGCTGGCTGAGTTTGCGTCGGCCTACGGCGTGCGCCCCCAGTACGCCGCGCTGTCCTACCTGAAGTGGGTGGTGGGCGAGGAGGTGGCCAGCCTCACCTCCGACTGCTTCGGCGTGCTGGCGCGGGAGCTGGCGCCGCTGCACGCCGCGCGCGCCGCCGCCGCACTTTCCTCGGGCGAGCTGGGCGTGCTGGCCCAGGTCTGCAACCGCGTGGACGGCCTGCTGTCCCAGTGCTTCGAAAACTACTTCATGCTCAGGTGAGGGTTGGGCGGGGGGGGGGGGGGGGGGTAGTTTGGGGAAAAAGGGTAGGGAGGAGGGGGTGCCCAGCAGGGCTGCAAGTGCGTCCACGCCACCGCGGGCCCAGCACAGACTCCAGCACTCCACAGCCACGAGGGAGCACTCCTCCCCAGGTCACCACCCCCCAACCAACCTCCCTCATCCAAAAATTCAACCTTCTCCAGCGAGGACACCGTCAACGGGCTGACGGAGGGCGCGCTGAGCGTGCGCGGCGCCACCCCCCCCGTCCTCACCCCCGCCACGGAGCTCTTCTGCCTCCTGCGCGACCCGGGCAACCCCGCCGACGCCGACTGGCTGGCCGCGCGCTTCCGCCTGGCGGCGCGCAAGCGCTACGCGGCGCTGCTCACCGCCGCCGAGTTGCAGCAGCCGGGGCCGGGCGGCCTGGGCGCCGGCGGCCGCCGCCGCGAGGCCACGCCCGATGGCGACGGCCCGGACGCCGTGGCCGCCTACGCGCGCGTGGAGGAGCTGTGCCGCGCCGTGGCCAACGAGCTGCGCGCCGACGACGACGTGAGGGACGCGGGGGTGCTGCCGCCCTGCGTCAGCCTGCCGGACCTCACCAGTCTGGAGTATGTCAAGGTGGGATGAGCATTGGATTGGCTTTGGGGGGGCAGGGGGGGGGGCGCGGGTTGGGCCGGGCGGCCTGGGTGCTGGCAGGCAGGGGCACCGCTGGTCCTGCAAGAAGAGGGCGACCGCCTGCCGCACATCCTATGCCACTTGCTGTCCTTCCCAATGTTCCTTCCTCACCCTCCCCGGCCCCTCCCCCTCGCTCAGGGCATCATCTCGCACGTGAAGCGGGTGCTGGCGCGGTATCCGCCGCCCGCGCCCACCGAGGCGGCGGTGCGCCTGGTGGAGGCAGTGGGCAAGCTGCAGGACTTTGTGTACCGGCACGGCTACCGCGAGGCATGCGCGCGCCTGAACTCGCGCGACATCTTCGGCCGGTTCGTGCAGGAGTGGATCGGCGCGAGCGGCGCCGCGCTGCGCGCGCTGTGCCGCTCCTTGGAGCCCGCCGCGCCGGCGGGCGGCGGCGGCTGGGCCGACGGCGGCGGGGGGGGCGCCGGCGGGCACGGCGGCGACGGCAAGCGCCGCGTGTCGCCGCTGGTGGAGGAGATGACCTCGGCCTCGGAGCGGGAGATGGCGCGCTACGAGCGCATCATCACCTACTGGCCCATGTACGGCCCGGACCTGGAGCGCGCGGTGACGGGCGCGCTGCGCGACGCGACGGCCGCCGTGTCCCGCCAGTGCGGCCTGGTGCAGACCAAGGACGCGCCGGGGACGCCCGAGGGCGGGCGCGGCGGCGGGCAGGCCCTGGTTGTGGCGGCGCGCGGCTACGGCGCGGGGGCGGGGCGCTCCCCGTCCCCGGGCGTGGGGGAGGAGTCGCCCGCCTCGCGCGCCGGCGGCCAGCGCAGCGCCTGGAAGTGGGTGGTGCCCCGCAACGCCCCCACCCTGGCCTACCGAGGTGGGGCGCCGGTCGGGAGGGTTGGGGGTTGTAGTGTCCTCTGAGGTGGGCAAGCATTGTGTCTGTGAGTGCGCGTGAGGGGTCACAGGATGAGCGTTGCCAGAGTGGGTGGAGGGCCGAGCAGGGCAGGGCGAGGACTTGCCGACTTGCTTGCAATGCGTTATTGAGCCGGGCCAGCGACCCAGCTTGGACGGCTGCAGCCCTGCCCCTCTTCCCACGGTCTTGCCCCAGCTGTCCACCTCATCTCATTCCAGCCTCACCACACTGAACCTCACCACACCGCCATCTCCCTCACCCCCACTGAATCCCAGGGGCACCCGCGGCCCTGGCACGCGGCATCACGCCCGGCCAGGCGCTCCTGCTCAACAGCCTGCGCCACTTGCTGGCCTTCTCGCCCCAGCTGGAGCACCGGCTGGGGCGGTGGTGCGGTGGCGCCGCCGTCGCGGCCTCCGCCGCCGCGTTCCCCCCCGTCGCAGGTGAGGAGTTGGTGTGGGAGCGACCTGCGACGACCTCGCCCGTGACACTGCCCCCTAGACCACAGATACGAGAAGCCCTCACCTCCTTTCCCCCCGAGTTCCACAGTGGGGTCGGAGCGCATCGCGCGCGACGCGCCCGACCTGGGCGCGCAGTCGGCGCAGCTGGTCAAGGAACTACGCTCCGAATACTTTGCGGCCATCACGCTGTGCGCCGAGCGCCTGGCCGCCGAGCTGGCGGCCAACCCGGCGACCTCCACCCTGCTCCTCCTGCGCCGCGACGGCCTGACCGCCCACCCCTCCCAGCTCCAGTCCGCGGTCGGTTGGTTGTTGAGATGCGTTTGGGCCTTGAAACGGATGTTGGGGAGGTAGGGGGCCAGGCATGACCTCCGCTGACATCCCAGTGTTGGTGCTGCGGCCCCGCCATCAGCTTCTTCCTCGGCACCAGGCCACACCCAGACGCAACCCCCACTCCCCGCAGTTGTCGAGCATCATGGAGGAGCTGGAGCGCCTGCTCCACTGGCTGTCCAGCAGCCTGGACACGCGGGTGTACGTAGCCGTCACGCGCGGACTGTGGGACCTGACCTCGAAGGACGTGCTGGAGTACGCCGAGGACCTGCAGGAGGGGGGCGGCGGCCAGCGGGTGTGCGGCGTGGATTGGTGCAGGGAGGGGGAGACCGGTGCTGTGGGAGGTGACGCGTGGGGACGGCGCGAGGCGCTGCTCGTGGCTGGTGCCTGGGAGGGATCGTCCCGAGCGGAGGACGGAACAGGCGCGGCTGCAGGCGAGCCTGCCTCGCTCCGTCTGACGCTGGGGCCTCTCACACCGAGACGCACCGCGCCGCCACTTCCCCTCGCCCTGTGCACCCATGCGTTGTGCGCACATGCATGCAAACATTCACGCGCATGGCAACCTTCCCCCTCCCTGCTCTCCCTTTCCACCTCCCACAGGGCGCCTGGCGCGGCCGGCAGAACGCCAGCGTGGCGGTGCGTGGCCTGGACGCCTTCTTCAAGTCCATGCTCACGGCCTCCATGGGCAACGACCTGCTGTCCAAGGACCTGGGCCTGCCCGCGCACTCGGACCGCGCGCACAAGCTGCTGGCAGAGAACCTGTCGGGCATCAACCACTCCTACGATGTGTACTGAGGGGGCGGACGGGATGCGAAGCGACGCTGCGAAGAGCAATCGTGGGAGTGGGGGAAGGGGTGCACAGCGCAAGGCACTCGGCCCTGGACCCCCGAAACCTCAGCGCAATCAGCTCACAGTGTCCCACCCGACCGTCCTCCCGACCCAACCAACCACCCCGTGACTCGAGAGCCTGCCGACAGAACGCGGCCATGACAGATCCCACCCCCCCCCAACTCTGCTCCATTTTTTGGTCGATCGTGCGTGCATGCCCGACCCTGAAACACATGCGCCACACGCAGGGAATGGTTGCGTGAGGGAGTATTCTCTCTTTGGGGGGGGAAGAGAATGGCAGGGCAGGGCGAGAACAAAAACAGGACAGGGTGACAGGGGGTTATGAATGGGCACACTGCCATGCCAGGGTCCAAAAGGACAAAGATAGGAGCGGCCTCCTCTACCCAGTCCCCTGCATCGCGCCTGTCGCACACCATCTGGCCCGCCTCCAAGACAATCTCAGTCAGGCGGCCCGGACCCCTGCCGCCTGGCGCGCCCGGTCTCGCTCGTACAGCGGCAGCTGCAGGGCCACGGCGATGCTTTCCAGCAGCTCCTCCTCCTGGATGTTGTCCTGGATGGAGCGCGCCACGCTCTCGTACACGTGGTAGGCGTTGGGCGTGGGCTTGTCGCGCCGCTCGCGCATGTACACCCAGGACCCCGCCTCGGCATCGTAGGCTGCCTCCACAATCCGCTGATGCAGCGCGGCCGGGTCCTCGCCGCCGGGGAAGGCGATGGTGGCGCCGGGGAGGAGGTGGTAGCCACGAGGTCGAGCCCCCCCCGCCCGAGTCTCCAACAGCTCCAACCCCGCCGTGGAGGTCTTGGGGTCCCAGCGCAGCCGGAAGTCCACGGAGTTGAGGTGCGCGAACTTCCACTTCAGCAGCTCCTGGCAGGTGCCGGGGACGTAGGCGTCCTCGTACCCTAGGGTGGCATGGTTGAAGGGTGGGGTGGGGGAACTTTTGAGGGGCATGGTGAGGGCGGGGAGATGACAGACAGCAAGGTGGCGCACCCTCCTCTGCAAATATACATCCACCATTTGCTATCTGGAGCCAGTGTACGCTAAGATCTCTGTGCCCCCAAAACACACACAGACAGTGGCTCTGCCAGCTCACCTTGCAGAATGAGGCCGTCAGACTCGTGGGAGACCTGGTTGGGGATGAAGTCGTGCAGCAGCTTGTCTGCCTGGGTCAGCGGCCAAAACTCCTTTCGTCGCACGTGAAACAGTTCCTGCAAAGGTGGGCAAAGGGATTCATGGCCGTGTAACTTTTGGGGCCGGCATATCATATTCCTCATGACACGAGTGCTGTCCCGCAGGTTCACTGCCCAAGGGAGGTACACAGCACACACTCTCACAAGTGTCCTGTAGATGATACTGGTGTCCAAGATTCCATACACGTCACTCACCTCGCCGTACTGGTAGGGGAAGGACCACTGCTTGGTCTCGATGACGTGCCGTTCCAACTTTCTTGGGTCCATCACGTATCGCTTTATCATGTCGTACCTCTCCTGCAGGGGGGACATTGTCACGCGTGTGGCAGCTCTCAAAAAAACACATTCGCAAGTTCCCATTTGCCCCAAAGTAGCTTCTTCCCTGTTGTTATCCTGCCAAGAGAAACGATGCCATGTGCTACCCATGTATAGGCCGCAGCAGAGCAGATCTCCGTCCCCAATCCCAACACCCAACCCCCATCCCAAGCACCTTCCAGGGCAGGCCGACGACTGACTTCCCATTGAGGGCCATCAGATCATATGCCAGAAAGCGCCGCTGCTTCCTGTCTGACAGCAGGTCGTCGTCCACGATCATCTCACCATCCAGGATCGTCTTTGGAGTGGAGTATGAGGGGAGGGTGAACGGAATGCATGGGGTAATGGCATGAGATAGGGTCAAAGCATGCAGCTGTCCCCTCATCCCACCATCTCCAGGGCCCCCAAAATTCCCCGCATCCTGCTTCCTTCACACCCCACACACACCAGGGAGTGGGGTGGTCCCACGGGGGCCTTCTGGGGCACCCCAGCCTGGGGCTTGGCTGGCAGGGGCCAGCGCATCTGCACTCGGCGCGTGGCCAGCTTCCTGTCCGCCAGGTATGTGCCCGACGGCAGGATGACCAGCATGTAGCGTGTCCCGTCGGCCTTCCACGTCACCCAGTACCTGCGGCGTTTTGGGGAGGGGGGGAGAGCAGGTAGGGTCGAGATGGGGGGGGTGAAGTGGGTCCCTGAGCCGGGCACTGCAAGTCTTGGCACCCAGGGGTCGATATCTTCGCCTCGCTTTCATTTCCCCGAGCACGCCCTCCCCCGCAAATGAACACCACACCATGCACCTACGCTGGCGCAGCAGCTCCAGGTTGCTCCGGTCCAGGCTGACGGGCTGCGACCCCGGGAACCAGGCCCTGCGGTGGTCCTGCGCCGGCCCCGCGATCATCTCCACGATGCTGCCGCAGACCGTGGCCGCCTCGGCGGGGGACACCTCCTCGCCCAGCACATCGTCATGCTCCATGTGCTCTGGCGGCGCCTCGGCGCCATTCTCCCCTTCTCCACCCTCGTCGCCCGAGTCGGGTGCGTCGCCCGCCTTCCAGTCCGGCAGTGCGGGCATGACAGCCGCGGCGGGGACCGCTTCGTGGTAGTACCGGTACAGCTGGCGGATGTAGTAGTGCTTGTAGATGCCCGGGGGGCGGGAGAGCGCAAAGGCGTGCAGCGCCTTCTCCACTGTCCAGTGGTGCATGCGCACGCAGTAGCTCACGATCATGTAGCCTGTGTGTAGGAAGGGGGGAAGTGTTGGGGGGAGGCAGAGGGTTGAGGGAGGATGGACTGCTGTGCAGTCCTGGGCAATTGTCTCAAACCAGGGACAGAGGGAAAGACAGGGCTCAGCATTACCCGAGGAATGCACAGCGGCACAGCACTGAGGTAGAAGTGCCCCTCGCCAGTCCCACTCCACAACCCTCCTCGCCTGTGCGGTTGAAGCCGTGGGTGCAGTGCACGAGGACAGTGGACTGCCCTGCCCTCTGACTGGCGACCTCCCAGACAAAGTCGTTGACAGCCTCTGGCTGTGGGACCTGCCCCCGACCTCGGCAGGGGATCTGAGAGGGGCACATGGGCAGGGTGAAATGAGGTTGCTGCCACCTGTCCTTGTCTCGGGTGAGGGGCTGCACCCCACTCAATAACAGACCGCTGCACCAGGCTCCGATGCGCACCCACCCCCATCACGCCGATCGAGCTCTCACCTTGATGTATCGCACGCCCAGCTCCTGCCAGCGGCGCACGTCGTAGTACCTGGTACTGCGGGTCAGGTCGATCACCGTGGCGCAGCGCGCCTGAAGGGCAGCCCCCTTCGCGTCAGCTCTCTCCTGCGCCTGGTCCACGTTGTACCGCTGTGCTGCCGGGATGTAGTCGTCAAAGTGGGCGCCCAGCGGCACCTATTGGAAGGGAGGAGGAGGAGAACTGGAGGCAACACTGAGCAATCTTTCTAGCTCCTTGGAGGCAGTACTCCAGCCTTATCCTGACAATGTGGCGGCACACAAGACTTGTCCCTAGGAGTTCACCTTGGAAGGGATGAACCTGCTGATAGGCTGGCCCTGGGCAGGGCACTGCTTCCACCCGCTGGGGATTCCATAATCACCTAGCTCTTCGTCGGCAATGTCGTCAGGCTGGCGTCGTGCCTCGGCCGAGTCCTGTGGGGTGGGTTTGCCTCCCAAGTCAGCGACCGGAACCCTCGAAAGACCTGCCTGCAGCGCGCCAGCAGCAATGGTCCCCACACCCCTGCACCTTCCGCACCTCCACCTCCTCTGGTCTGGCAAGCTTGGACGGGCCAGCAGGCCCATCAAGGCCTCTCTTCATAGCGTTGTTAAATGCCCTGGCCCCATCCTCCTCCTCAACGCATGGTCGAGCTTGTGTCGAGTTCTCGTGCAGCTCGCTGGAATGTCAACAAGAGTCTCGGGAAGCGATCTGTACTGCAGAATTAATCTGAGTATACAAGCTCTGAATATTTTTCAAGCAGATCAAAGGATGACTCGCAGCAGATGTGGTGAGAGGTGACATTCAGTATGCCGCAGCTCTCACCCATCCTGGCTCCTTCCTTCCGCCACCACCGCGCGCGCTAAGACTCGCGTCCTTCGCATACATCACACCAACGCTCACGCTTGCATAAAGCGTTGATTTCTAAACCACCCATATTATTGTTTTGGCAAGTTGAGAGGTGTATACCCCGGTGCCTGCTTCCTCGCACCAGGCATGGCCACGGAGGCCGGGGGGGCCCGGACCCTCATCGTGAAGAGCGTGGCATTTGGGGTGACAGACGAGCAGTTTGGGAGCTACTTCAGTGACATTGGTCCCGTGTCGCGATCTTTCCTGGTCAAGCAGGGCAAGGAGGGTCCCCACAAGGGGTATGGCTTCGTGCAGTTTGCGCTGGCCTCGGATGCAGAGCGGGCGGTGGCGAACCTGAACGGCACCGACTTGGGAGGCAGGAAGCTCAAGGTGGAAAGTGGGGCATGAGGTGTCACAGGAAGGGCTTTCGTCCTGCGAGCATGTGAATTCTGGCCTGGGCTCCCTTGCAACTTCCTGGCTCCACCCTCTCACCCACAACATTCACATGGTCCAGGTCGAGGTTGCCAGCAAGCGCGCCACCTTTGAGGAGAGGAAGAAGAAGCGCCAGCAGGGCGGTGAAGAGGGCGGCGCCCCCGCGACGCCTGCAGGTGCCGAGGCGCCGCCCTCCGACGCCCGCCCGGCGAAGAGGACGCGGCAGGCACCTGCCGCCCGCGCCGCCCCCGGCCCGAGCGCGGCAAAGGGCGAGAAGCACCGGCTGGTGCGCGCGGTCGCGGTTGGGGGCGCGGCCGCCGGGGACGAGGCCGCGGTGCGCGCCGCGCTGGGTCCCGCCCTGCTCCGGCAGTTAGAAAGCGTGGAGGCCCTGCCCGCCGCCCTCCGGGACGACCACAAGCTGACGCGCGACGGCTGCCCCGCCGGCCCCGCCCTGCTGCTGGTGTTCAAGGCGGTGAAGGCCGCCACGCAGGCCGTGGCGGCGCTGCACGGGCGGCGGCTGGGCGGCGGCGACGGAGGCGCCGGCTCGGCGCCCGACGCCCGCGCGCTCTGGGCGCGCCAGGTGTCGGGCGACGGCCTCCACCTAAAGCGCTGGCGCGTGGTGGTCCGCAACCTGCCCTTTACCGTGACCGAGGGGGCCCTGCGCGAGGCTTTCGCCCCCGCCGGCTTTGTGTGGGAGGTGTCTGTGCCGCGCTCCGCGGGCGGCCGTGCGCGCGGCTTCGCCTTCGTCGGCTTCCAGTGCCACATCGACGCAGAGCGCGCCATCCGCACTGTCAACGGCACCGCCGTGGCCGGGCGCACCGTGGCGGTGGACTGGGCGCTGAGCAAGGCCCAGTTCCAGGGCGAGGCCGAGGCGGCCGCCGCCAAGGCCCAGGCGCACGTCATAGGTATGGCAGTTGGAGAGTTTCTACTTTTGGGGGGGGTCCCGGGAAGGGGAGGGGGAGGGGAAAGTTGCAAGTGGTTGCTTGTGCACTGTATCATCTTGTTCAGATATGAAGAGGCTAATCTAGAAACAACCTGCAGTTGTGTCACGGTCCAAGTATGTGCATCGTGAGTTGATGCCTGGGCAGTAATGATTATCATCCTGTATGCATGCTCACCACCATGCTCTTGTCCGTCCCATTTTCCTCACAGAAGCCGCAGCGGTGACGCTGGGCTCTGATGACGAGGAGGACGCCGCGTCAGACTCTGACCTTGACCTGGAGGTGATTGCTGGCCATGGAGTGTGTGATACCAGTACTCTGACCCTGGCAGGAGCTGCATCTCCCATCGCATACCAGTATTTTCCCTTAACTTTCATCGGCAGGCCGCTGCTCCCGCCGCACACCTGGCGCCCGAGGCGGAGTCTGCCATGCAAACTGGCATCATCGACAGCCTGCTGGGCGCCGCAGCCAGCGACGGTGACAATGATGGAAAGGACGGCACCAAGGATGGTAAAGCGCCGCCGACAACCGCCGCCCCGGCCACCGATACCTCTGGACCTACAGCAGAAGAAGACGAGGCGGAGCCGGCAAAGCCAGATCCTACCCGCCCGCCCCGCCCCGCCACCGACGACATCTTCAGCAAGGCCTCGCTGGCGGCCGCGGCGGCCCAGAGCCGCCCGGCGGCGCCGCTGCGCTCTGCCGCAGGCCTGCTGCAGCGCGCGGCCGCCGGCGAGGCGGCACCATCATCGAGCAAGGACGCCGGGGACGAGGCCGCAGCGCGGGGGGCCTCGGCCGCGCTGGTCCGCACCGTGTTTGTGCGTGGGCTGCCGCTGGACGCCAGCAAGGAGCAGGTGTGGACCAAGCTGCAGCTGTTTGGCCGGCTCAAGGCCTGCCGCCTGGTCATGGACCGCGACACGGGCAAGGCCAAAGGCACCGCCTTTGTGGAGTTTGCCACGGAGGAGGGCGCACAGGCGGCGGCTGCGGCGGCTTCGGACGCCAGGTCTGTTCAGAGAGATTTGGGGTGTAGTAATGTGCATTGGGAGGGACACTGTGACCTTGTGGAGTGGAAGGAGGGTCAGATTGCTGCTGTGCGGTGCCAGAGACGGAGGCATGCGGACCCAAAGCAGTTGACTCCATGTCGTAGTCCCAAAGATGCGGCAATCTGCACGTTCCGCCCGGGGCAGACGGGCTCCCACGCCCCCCTCAGCAGCACCCATCAACACCCCGGCTGGGCCCACCCCACAGGGAGTCCAAGGGCCCTGCTGTGGTCGTGGCGGGGCGCACCGTGGAGATCGACATGGCCCTGGACGCCCAGGCTGCGCGCCACGCCTCGGCCAAGAGCCAGGACGACTGGCGGGCGCGGGACAAGCGCAACCTGTACCTCACCAAGGAGGGCATCATCTCGGAGGGCAGCGTCGCCTGGGAAAACATGCCGGAGGGGGACCAGGCCAAGCGCAAGCGTGCAGCAGGTGGGAGCGGGGCGGTGGCTTGTTCGGTAAAGGTGAAGGGACGGCGAGAGATGGTGTGATGCGTGGTGTGGGGGGGTGCCCTATGGCCGTCGCAGCTCCTCCCATAGTAAGACACCCGGCGGAAACCAGCACGGCGGACTGATCTTTCACACGCCAATGGGCTCCCTCCCCTCGAAACCCCTCTCCCACGCTGCACAGTGGAGCGCAAGGCTAAGCTGGCGAGCCCCAACTTTGTCGTGTCCAGCACCCGACTCAGCGTGCGCAACATTCCGCTGGCCTGGAACGAGGCCAAGCTGCGGGACGTGTTTGTGGCGGCGGTGAAAGAAAGGGCGTCCAAGGCTGTCCCCGTGGCGAAGCAGGTCAAGATACTGAAGGATGCGGAGCGCCCTGGGCCCGACGGCGAGCCCCGGTCCAAGGGCTTTGGGTTCGTGGAGTTCACGGAGCACGAGCACGCGCTGTGCGCGCTGCGCCAGCTCAACAACAACCCCACCGCCTTCCACAAGGTGTGTGCATGGGGGTCTGTTGAAAGGCAGGGGTGGAGGGGCTCGGCTGGCAGGTCGTCTAGGGACTGGAGGGCTGGTGTGCGCGAAAATCCAGGAGGTGGTTTTCCCGTCCCATGAGCAGGCCGAGCGCATCAACTGTACCCCCACACATGCAGGACCGGCGACCCATCGTGGAATTTGCCATCGACAATGTCAAGGCGTTGAAGGCGCGCGAGCACCGTGCCACCCAGGCCCAGACAGCCAAGGCGGCGGGGGGACCACAGGCTGATGGGCCAGTCGCCGGGCAGGCTGCGGGCCCTGGAGCCGCCCGCGAGGACGTGGCGGCGCCCGCCCCGGAGGCCGAGCCGAAGAGCCGGCGCCAGCTGAGGAAGGAGCGCAACATGGTGGCGCGGGAGCGGCGGGCGGCGGCCGCCCTCGCGAAGCAGGACCCCGACCAGCACGAGAAGGTCGAGCTGGCTGAGAAGGGGAGGCGCAAGACCAGAGCGCCAGCCGAGAGGCCCCAGCCGGCGCCAGTCGCGGCGTCGGTCGCGGCGCCAAGGGAGAGGAAGAAGGGCGCGGGCGCAGCTGCCCCGTCGGCCCCGGCAGCGCAGGCGGCGGCGGTGGCGGCGCCAGAGCCGGGCCCGGAGGCCGCCGTCCAGCCGCAGCGCAAGGCGGTGCTGCGATCCCAGCGGCGGCGGCTGCTGCGACAGCGCAAGGCCGGGAAGCAGGGGGGTGGCGAGCACGAGGAGGATCCGGCGCCTGGCGCTGGTGCGAAGAAAGGACGGCATGGGCGCGAGGACGAGGCGTGGACGGAGCCCAGGCCGCGCCGGGCCGCGTCGCCGAGCAACGGCGTGGTCACGGCGGGGAAGGGCCAGACCGCGAGGAAAGCGGGGCACTGGGTTGGAGGGGAGGCCGGTGCGAGGGCTGCCGGCCATGGGCCAAAGGCAGCAGGGGCGGATCTCAAGGCCAGGGTCAACCCAATGAAGCAAAAGGCGGTCGTTGCCGCCAAGACTGTCATGGGAGCCAGTAAGTCTGATGTTTGGGAGCTTTGTTCAGGACTGAGGGACACAGAGGAGAGTGGGTCTGGCTGGTGGGGTCCATTGGATGGCATGCCAACCTGCCCAGCCACTGCCTGCCGAGCGCACGTGAGTAACTCATCGCCGTCGGTTTTTCTTTCCTCCGTCGCGCAGAGGCAGGAGCAGCCACGTCGCGCAGGGCGAGCAAGAGTGGCATGTCTGCGGAGAAGAAGCTGGACAGTCTGGTGTCAGAGTTCCGGGGCAAGCTCTTTGGCAAGCCCAAGGGCAAGGGTGCAGGCGAGGCGACGAAGCTGGGACTGAAGCGTTGGTTTGAGTGAGGTGCCCTGAAGGCCCCCACGAACCTTTCCGTGCTCCGAGCCAGGCTTGCAATCGACTCCCATTCTGTGGCCGATAGGGGAAAGGGACGACGAGCCACTGAATTGTCGGTCAGCTGTCGTGACAACTTGTGCAAGCATGGCACGCACAGCAGGGAAACCAATATGATCAGCAAAATGAATATACACCGCCCCGACAAGCTGCGGATGGTCTCGTGATCTTCCTTGGCACAGGGTTATGACGAGCGTACGCCTACTCACGCTGCAATCCCAAGGAGTGGCGTGCAGGGGCCCCGCCATGATCTCTTCTGCCCTGGCTGCAGCTCGAAGCTCTGCGGGCACAAGATTTCGCCATGCATTCCAGACCACATGTCAGGCCTCGGGGTTCCGCCAGGCCGGCGCGGCGGCCTATCAGTCCGCTGCGTACAGCCCTCCCAGCGGCAGTCGTCCCTTCGTGTCCCGGCCTACCAACGACGCCCCCGACCCGCGCAAGGTCATCATATTCACTAACTACACCGTTTACAAGAGCAAGGCAGCATTTAGCGTGAAAGTAATCAAGCCGACCTGGGGCAGGACTGGCACGGGGAGTGGGATCACCGTCACCAGGGACGGCACCCTCCTTTTTGAGTTTGCCAACGCCCGCGGCGAGCGCGACTACGACTGGGAGAAGAAGGAGGTGAGGGGACTGATGGGACTCGAGACTCAAAGGGGCCTCCTTCTCCATCCAAGGTGGTGTTGAAGAGCCTGGCTGTGACTAAGCTGACGACACCTACACTCCGCAGAACTTTGCCTTGAGTGCAGTCGAGTGCGCAGGCATCCTGGAGAGCGTAGAGGCGGGCAAGGAGGCCTCTTTCTTCCATGACCCAAACAAGATGTCGGCGTGAGTTGTGTAGCGACGTGGAAAACTGGAAGGAGGCGTTGGAGGAATGGCTGCCGGCCCTTGCTTGCGCGACCAGGGTTGTGCTGCGTGCATCGCAGCCCTGGGCTTTGCTGCGACACCTGTCCTCGCTACCGCCCTTGCAGGAATGAGGGACAGATTGTCAAGACCCTGCGCTTGTCCCCGGGTCAGAACAATAGCTACTTCATGTCTCTCAGCGTGAAGAACCAGGGGCAGCAGGCGCGCTTTGATCTGCCCCTCAGCAGCGCAGAGCTCCGAGTCGTCCGCAGCATCATCGATGTGAGCCTTTCGAAAATTTGCACTCTGTCCTGATCTGGGAGGCTGAAGGGGATGCCAGAGGGCGGGGCTGGCTGTCTGGTGGGTCTGGCCAGGTTCATGGACTGTGTCGGCACAGGACGGCAGGGCACCCTCCGTGATAGGCTTGCGTCGGGTCGACACCTTGGGACTGGTGTGTTACATTGAGGAGAGAAGCTCGCCCAATCCTTGCTACCGACGCGTCGCAGTTCATGATACCATACATGCTGGGCTTCAATGAACTGGTGCTGGGACCCCCCGACATCCAAGACGGCTCATCTGGAGGCCAGTTCAACACCCCAGGGGGCCCCGAGCCACCATTCTGAACGGCCTTCCCACAGATTCGTCTCAGCCCTTCTTGCTGAAGAAATCCAGGAAACCACCCTGGGACGGTTCCGCCTCGGGTTTGGCAGCCGCCCGCCCGCCCGCGCCAGGCCTCCCCCGCCGAGCGCCCGGACCCGGTGCCCCCGCGTCCACCACCTTTGGCTGCCGTTTCCTCCCAAAGCCCCAGAGAGGGCCACCCTCGCCCTTGACCTGCTCCTCCTCTGCATGTTGTCCGGCGTGGGAGGGGTGGAGGAGGTGAACGCGGCTGCGCTACGTCGAGCATGTGGGACGAATTGCGAGTCACTTTTGGATGGTGTCGGAGTTTAAAGAAATGACCAGGCCAGACAAGGAGTTTAGCGCACAAATCCCAGATGTACTTCACTCCAATGAGCCAGAGGCAACCCTCCCTACCCACACCTGGGTCTGCCAGCTTCTTCACCAGCTTCTTGGCCTCTGCGCGAGAGGAACCAGAGGCAGGCGCCCCGCTCGGCCCCGTCGCACTGGCAGCCGCCTTCTTGAACCAGCCCCTCGCCCCTGAGCCCTCCTGCTTCACGGTGCCAGTCCCTGTGCAGCGGTTTGGTGGGGAGTTGTCACAGGCGCCGCCAGGCAATGGCCACAACATCCCAGGCACAGCAAGGTAAACTCGTTTCGCTGGGCCCCTGATTGAACGCGCAACCCTCGCACAAGCAACCACTCCCACTCCTGACCTTTGCTGGACTGGGTCCCGCCGCGACCTGCCCTCACTGAGACGGTGCTGGCCCGCTTCCCAGAGGGCGCCGGCTCCCCTCGAGAAGACACCGTCTTGCCTCCCAGGCTCCACCCCAGTCCCTTCTGCTTCGTCCCCTGCTCCTCCTCTGATCGACGGGTCAGGATTTGGGTGGGAAAGAGGGATGATGAGAGGCCAAGCAGGCTTGGAGCTTTCGCAAGAACCCAGTAGATGCAGGACCCGGCCCCAGGTAGTGAAGCCCTGAAAACGCGGCCCTGCCAACTCACCAGAACTGGTGGCGGTAGAGGCACGTGACTTGGGCACAGCTGCCCCCGATGTGCTGAGCACCTGCACAGACAGCGCGCCAGAGCGCCGTTGATTGCAGCTTGTGCGAAGTATGCCGGCTGCTCACGACAGGGATTGCTGCTCCGGCTTCCTGGACATCTAATTCCCAGACTCCCGTCCCCACCCCTCCTCCAGCCACCCTCACCCTCTGAATCTGGTCCCTGAGAGAACCTTCCTCCTCGCTGCCGCCGGCCCCAACCTCCACCACGCCGTCGCCGCTGGTCAGGCCCAGGCTCTCCACCACCCCCTGCGCCACGATGCCCACAGGGACGGAGGCGCCGCGCGGCAGGCCGCCGCGCCCCGTGGCCAGCGGCACAGAGTTCCCCCCGTCCTCGCTCCACTTGCCAGTGCGCAGGAGGAGCGCGGAGTCGGCGCTGTCGACCACGGCCTGCTCCAGGGACGAGAGCTTGGCGCCCCGCGACCCGCCGCCAAGCCCGAACCACCCGCCGCCGCCGCCGGCCAGCTGCGAGACCAGCACGAACTGGGACACGCGGGCGCTGGAGGAAAGCACGGCGTCGATGGCCGCGCTGGCCACCGAGTCCTCGATGCGCATGCTGCCCACAGAGTCGCCGGCCACCAGTACCACGCGCTGGCTGCCCCTGCGCGGAGGGGGTGGTGGCGGGCGAGGATTGGGTCGTGAAGATTGCCAGGGCCATGCGATTGGGTGCCATGCGATGCTGAGCATGGCTGGGAACTCACACTGTGCATCAACACCAGATAACCTCCCTACCTGCCCCCGAGGGCCAGGCCGACGCTGTCCACATCCGTGGCGTCAAAGTCCACGAGCTTGAGGGCCTTGCGCTCTGAGGCGGAGAGCAGCCCAAACTTGGAGGCGAATTCCAACAGGTCCTGGGACCGGCCCTCATCCGCATCTGGAGGATGAGGACAGGAGGATCTTGCTGTCTGTGGCCACGGAAGACCGGCGCCCCGCGATTGGAGACCCCTCACTGCCAAGCAGCAAGCTTCCTCTCTCCAGCCCACCTGCCGTCACCCCATAGCCTTGGCTGAGCAGCTGCTGCACGATGCGCGCAGCAATCTTGCCACGGGAACCCAGTACCACCACATCTCGTCCTCCTGCTCTGCACACGTGCCGCAGGCGGCGGGCGGAAGGCGCGATCCCCTGACACGGCCGAGACTGCCTCAGGGTGTTCACCCTGGAGGCGCCCAAGCCAGCCCTGCATGCATTCATGGTCACCATGGAGCGCGCAATATGGCAAATTCTGCTCTTTGAGTGTTGAGCTGGCGAGTAAGCCGGCATCTGAGGCTTGCCCATGCTGGAAATGATACGCGCGTCCGACGGATGCCGTGGTTGAGATCTTGGAGTTTATCCGCACGTGCTTGCTGCTCTCAGCGCGCGCAGTGTCGGGACGGTCGGTATACTATTCTTGCGTTTCAGGCTCGGAACGCCAGTGTTGTTTGATTGAGTCTGTTTCCGCACAGCACGCAGGATAAAAGCGCTCAACTTTAGAGTATAGCCGTGACTGGGTATCGCAAGAGCACTGGAGTTGCATGCAGGTTTTCTGCTCCTCTTGAGCTTCACGATGAGCACTCCCGCACGTGTAGCAGGGCTCAGACTCAAAGATGCCTGCACATCAAGTCTCAAGACGAGATGGTACAGCTCGGATGCTGTGAAGCGATACGATGGTGAGTGTAGTGGAGGTTGCTTTATAAAGCAGTGCCGGGAAGGAGAGCGATGCCGAAGCAACCTTTGCAGTAATTCTTGACAGCAATAACTCAACGACACAGAGGAAAAATACGGAGGCTGGAAAAGTGCAGACATCCTCTTTGCGGAGAAGGAGGTTCACCGCACGGTCATCGGCAGGTACTCAGAAGGGAATGTGTTCTCTTTGCGTTTGTCGCCTCGAATGTTCTCTCTGACTGTTTCAGGGCACCCCTGGCAGGAATCACCCTGATGTACGTCTCATCAAATCCCCCGTACAGGTGGGACTGGCACGCCTGGCAGCTGCTGATCGGCCTCCTCCCTGCGGCAGGCGAGCCTGGTCACCCTGCCCCTGAGGCATGCCAGACCGAGCCACTTTCCAATGCCATGATCACCAACTCTCAACCCTATACAGTGGTGGCTGGAATCGCATATTGGGCACGAAAGGACATGGAGAAGGTTTTCGGGGCCACCCTCACATATGTGAGTCCCGTTGGATGGCACTGAGGGCGGCGTGGGAGGCATGCACTGATTCCCATGGTCGCAGTGCCGATGCCAACCTCGCACACTGCCCATTATATTGCAGAAAAGGCCAGCACGGGAGGACCGACATGCTGCTGGAGCTGCGCAGCCTAGGCCTGACATGCCAACTGGCCCCGTGAGTGTGTCTTGCTTTCCTGAACTTGCATTGCAATGCTTGGTGATTGGGCACAGGCCCCGAACGTGCACCCGGCTTTCCCTGGACTGCGCGGTGATCGTTTTTGATCCAATGTCGACCCCTGACTGACCGAGCTCAGGCAAGCGGCGTGCAACAGGAGCAGGCCCTCGGGCAGAGGTTGCAAGAACTGGAGACACAGCTGACGATGGCGCAGCTGCGAGAGCGTATCCTCCGACAAACAGGTGTGCGAGGTGTTGGGGATTGGTGTGCCGCCTGCTCGCCTTCCTCCTGTCTTGCAATAGCCTTTGATGAAGAGCGAAGCCCTCCTCCCCATGGCCCCCTGTACAAGGCGTTGGGCCCAGCAGCTTGTTGGCACCTGAAAGCATGCCGGCCCCTGGGCCTCTGTCGGTGGGGGCTAGTAGAGGAGGTAGTGCAGGCTCTCCATCAGCCATGGGAGCCAGCCCTTCTCCAGGAGAAGTGCACGCATCCAAAGGGAGTGAGATCGAGCCATCTCCAGGAGTGCCAATGTCCTTTTGGAGTGCTGCCAAGAATTTGTGGCAGCGAATCCGAGGCTGGGCATCCCGATCTCCCTCAGACCATGACTGAGCGCTTCGGATCGCATGCTTGGTGTGCCTCCATGTCATCCTACATGAGATTGTTACAAGGAATGGGAGCCCCAGGGGTCAGAGGACCAGGAGGATGTGGCTTCTGAGACGCCACCCTCGCATGCCTCCTTTGAATAGAGTACAGCCACACAACAGAGAAGCAGCCTGATAGTGGGCGGCGCACCAGCATACAGGGGGGTCAGTGATATAAGGCCTAGGGTTAGGCAGCGGTGATCCAGTGCGCAAAGCAAGGAATTGCTGCTTCCCAGGGGCCAGGCACGAGCAAGGGTTTTCGGTTCGGGGTTTGCATGGCTAGATCCTGCAGTGCCATGTGCACGCTGCATCGGGTGCCAGGCGAGGCCGCAGCCATGCAGATGGGCAGTTCCCAGGCGGTACGAATGTGCTACCAGGCTCCCTCCTGCAGAATGGACAGGAGTGGAGGAAGGTTCTGTATGCTCTGGCACTTGCCCTCAGCAGGCCGTACAGCATCGATTGCCTGCAGAACAGAATATGTCACCACTGGAACATGAGTCACACGCACATACCTTCATTACTTGCTGCTTCTCCACAATGAACTTGCCCTCCTTGTACTTCTGGGACTCCTCGAAGGAAACCTCCTGGCAAGCAGGTGGATGGTGGCGAGGGAGTGAAGTTGGTGCAAAATGGAAGAATCCCTCCAGCATGCCCTGGACTTGGCAGTCTGCCCATACCAGCCTTCTCCATGCCAGACTTGTCAATGCCCCTCCTGCATCATCATGCCGGGCCCCATGCACCACTCCCTGCCTCAGCCACGCATCCTTCCCACTCTGCAAGACTCACATACTTCCATCCCAGGACGGTGTGGCAGGAGGTGCACTGGATGTCAGCCACGGTGTGGAGCCCGGTGATGAACTGCCGGTCTTCGCGGGGTCCCAGCGTCACATTCACCCTGCGATGCAAGACCAGGGTGAACGCTTCAGGCGGATAACGGTGACGGCGGTATGTGCCCATGTGCGCAAGACTGTGCAATCAGTAACTCACACGTCGCTGAAGAGGTAGGCGCGCCCATGCACTCCCTGGAAGGCCTTGCTGATCATGTTCTGGTGGTCGGCCACATGGGACCGACAGTTACTACACGAGTATATTTTCTCGCCGGAGAGGTACTGCTTGAAGATCTGGCCCTGTGAGGGGACGAGCTGATCACAAACTCGGCGAAGGGGCCAGCCGGAGAGCGGAGCACGAGGGGCACGGCAAATGCATCAGCCGACGCACCATTCAGATCCAGTATGTCGCGACTGAACAGGTCTGGGCCCTACACGGGGCGTTCGGAGGGAGTCGGCGAGCCAGGAGGCGGTGCTTGCTCCCTATCTCGCTGCCAGAGGCTGGTGCCAGAGGGACACACAGGCGATCGTAGACGATTGTCAGGGCAACTGGGATGGCCTTCAAACTGTATCAAGCGACTCCAATTTCCTGGGCTTTGCCTTACTATTCCGGAAGATGCTTGGCGATGTGTAGGAACAGGTCGTCGTGAGGAGCGCCTGGATCCCGGAGGATCGCTCTCTTCTAGTGACGGAACACTGCTCATGCACAGCAGCAGCACACCCAGTATGGTCTACTTCAGACCAAGGTATGTCATTCAACCGATGCATCAGGCATCAACAATCCCAAGTCCTTGCTCTAATGTGAGCCGGAGACTGCTGTTTCCTGAGACATGTCTTCCTGAGCAAGGCAAGACTCTGGCTTGTTGCTCAGAAGCCAAAGGCGTCCACGAGACTGACGTTCAACACCCACAAAGCTCCCCTACAAAAGTGCCTCACACTGGCTGATGCACTTGTTCTACTAAAGATCGCCAACATACGATTTCACAATGTTGAATGAACAAAAAGGCAGGGTGGAACCCGCACTCTCAATCATTCCATGTGCCCCATTAGATGACTACCTATAAACTTACAGCGAGAGGAAATCAAGCATGATGGTGAGATGCACATTCCTCGATACATTTGCAGCACCTGCCGGAAGAAGAAGAGGTACATTGATGGGCCCAGCCAGGGGGATGATCATTGGTCGATGGAGGTCTCCTGGGTACTCCAAAGTCATGCGAAGTACCGCTGAAGCACATTCTTGTCCACTTTGACTCGGTGAATGCACTATCGCCCAAAAGGTGCGGCTTGAGAGAACTGTTAGGCTCGAGTTGCTGCTTAGTCAGGGCTGGAAAGGTCGTTTCTTGGCAATAGCTGCTCTTCATAGCTGTCCAGGAACGCTCGAATGACCTTCCTAGCGCCAGCCTCCCCATCCCAAACCACCAAAAGGTAAGAAATTCTAGTCTACCGCCTTAACCGCTCGGCCACAGCCGCAGATCGTAATCGCGGCCGACAGGATTCGAACCTGTGCGGGTTCCCCCAGTAGATGGCGTTTCTTCGTTTCTTTAAAGGCACCGTTGAGCACCTTGCAGAAAGCGTGTCAAAGTTGAATAATTTTCGGACCCAATACTGATCTTAGCCTTTTAGCCTGCCCGTTCCGCCTGCGCGATCCAGATGACTGCAGCAGGTTTGCGGCCATGCCCATCGATTTGCATGACTTCTTAGCTACCACTTTGCCGCCATCGCCGGAGCCGTCGCGGGGAGGGGTGGAGGTTTGCCACTCGTCCTGCCTCATCGCCGGACCCTCGGGCAGCGCAAAGACGAGCGTCCTGTTCCAGTACGCCTTGCGCGCGGCACAGAATGATCGCAACGTCCTCCTTCTGTGCAACAAGTGTGTTTTTGGTGTTTGCAGCTGTGGAACTGGATGTGATGCATCACATGTGTACGTACTGTCACCCCCAGCAAACCAGTCTTCAATAAAACAACAGGCACGCTCTCGAGCTCAAGCCCCCCTTGCTGGCATGCAAGAGCCAGAAGGCGGACCCTGCATGGTCCCGCATCTCCATGAAGTACTTGGAATCAGGTATTGGATGTTATCAGGATGGCGCAAGCGTTACCGTGGGCTGTAGCCGGGCACGGTGAGTGCCTTGCCATGCCTGCCAATCTTCCTTTGGAGCATGAGGCATTGCTCATCGCCAAGCAATAGACAACCCTCTATCGGCCTTGAGATGCCACTTTCTAGAGCTGGGAACCCAGCGGTGGCTCTCATCGATTCTCTCCCACCCTAGGCGATGAGCTGGTCAGGTTCCTGGCGGGTCTCCACCTCCTCCCGTCTCTGCCGGACGCGCTCCTGGTGGATGGCCTCCTACCCACCGGCCCGTCATCGGTAAACTCGGGCAGCTGGGAGCGCCTGCTGTGCAGACTGAGCGCCAGCCTCGTCGAAGCCGCGGTGAGCGCTCTTGCCTGGCACTACGTGTGAAGAGAGCACTGGGCACGACCCCCGAGCCAGGCCTCCTCCTGCTCATGGTGACCAAGAATCACCCTACTCCCCGGCGCAGGCATTCCTCGCCAGCAAGGCCGGGGCCCATGCCGTGGTCGCCTGCACGGCCGCCGTGGGCGGGCCAGGCGACCGGGCACTGCAGATCCTGGAGCGTGCCTTCCCCCTGACCATCCTCCTGACCCCTGACCCTGGTGAGGAAGCTCACAGGGGTCTGGGCCTGCAGCGTCTGCATGCCTGGGACATTGACCGGCCCACTCACGCATGCTCAACCTTGCTGGGACCTCTTCAAACGTGCAGACGCGGGGCGGCAGCAGGTGGTCCACATGTGGGCCAGGGCAGGGCCTCCAGTTGCTGCCGCCTGGCATGGCGTGCTGACCTGCGGCCCTGGCGGGCTGTCTGCCACGCCTCTTAGCCAAGGGTCAGCCTAACCTCGGATTGATCGCCATGCCAAGGCATTCAAGGCTGTGGCCTCGGCGCTCAGAGTCCCCACACTCAGGCGGCGGCTTGCGCTGGAGCCTCCGGGGCCGGCGCGGCAACCTCTGCCGCCCCGGGGGCCGGCGCGGGCACAGAAGCAGCAGCAGACGTGGTGAGGTGCGAGGTCAGGAAGCTGGAGCGCAGATGCTCCAGCTGGCCGCGCTCCAGCGCCATGAGCTCGTCCAGCTTCTCCAGATGCTGCGCAGGATGGGAAACATTCAAGTAGTATGTTGATGCTCGCGTCTGTGGGGTGCTGTGTGGCGGTCGGAACAATCAAGTCGCACTGCCGCTTGCCCCTTCCTGTAACACTTTGCCGACCGGGATCCAGTCCCAGTGCACCCCATCCCTCAACAAGCAATCACAAGCCTCATGCCTCCGACAACCCCTCTCTCGCCTGGAGCTTGATCTTGATCTTCTTGTACTGCGTGTCCACCGCCGCCAGCACCAGGCGCTGCAACTCCCGCTCCTCCGCGTCCGCCAGCAGCTTGGCCTTGGCCGCCGCGGCCGCCAGTGCGGTGGCCGCGGCCGCCCTCAGCCGCGGCGCGGAGATCGGCGCGTCCCCTGCCACAGATGGTGCCGGCGACGATTCACCAACCCCCAACCCCATGCCGTCCCGCGTCTCTGACCCCTCCTCCGCCTTCATGGGGCCCTTGCCGGCAGTCGGCTCCTCCGCGCACTCGTTCCCCTCATCCTCCCGCTTCGGCCACTCCCCCGCGCCGTCCTCCTCTCGCTCCGCCTCCCCCAGCGCCGCATCCTCCTCGCCCAGCACCTCCAGCGCGCGCTGGGCGGCGGCTGCCGCGACCCTGGGCCCCACCATGGTGGCCAGGAAAGCCACCTGAGCCATGACCGGGTTGCCGGCGTCGGCAAAGGGCAGCAGCGCGCCCGCGCCGGGGTCCGCCCCGTCCTCCTCGCCGGGCTCCGGGATCGTCACCTGGATGGGAATGGGCAGGGGATGGCTGGGTGGGAGTGGAGATTCCGAGGTCAGCCCAACAGCACACACCGGCGACAGACTTGCGATGTGCAGGCCCGCGCTGCCCCAGCCCTCCTCACTCCATCCGTCGCATCGACCACCGCATCTCCACAACATCATGCACCGCAAACCTCCCACCCCACCGCTCGATGCACGCGTCATGCCCATCTCACACCCACCCGCCCTCGCCCCAGAACCCTGTCCCCCCATCCACCACGCACCCAGCCCTGGCGGCCGTCGGAGGCCACCGCCTCCGCCACGATGGCCTCCTCGATGGGCATCTGGAGGAAGCGCGTGCAGCACTGCATCGCGTTCTTGGTGCCCACCGCCTCGGCGATGGCGGCCCAGTCCTCCCCGTGGCGCTCGACAGCTGCAGCGGGGTGGCAGGACGGCCGTGGTAGGAAGGACCGCTGGGGCGCATGTCGGGAATTCATCCGCGAGCTGCGCGGCAGGGCGCGCCTTTGGCGGGGCCGGCAGAACACAGACGCAAGGAAAGGTCTTGAGGGATGGTGAGCAAGGCATCAGCCGGTGGCAGACAACTGCTCTGTCAGCCTGAGCAGCAGCGCACCTTGGAGGAGCAGGAGCTGCTCCTCATTGGTCCAGCCAGGAGGGGTCTGGGGGCGCAGCGTCCTCCTCCAAACGCACAAAGTCCTTGGCCGTGCAGCCGGGAGGAAATCGCCCCTCTGCTTTTGCAAAGGGGTGTGGGTTT